AACAATCCCTTTGGGGAAGGAGATTACACAGGAAACTGCATTTCCTGGTTTTGTTCAAGGGATTAGACAACCTTGGTACCTGTTACATCTTACTGAATGCCAGATTGGCGCTATCTTTATAAACCAATAAACAGTTTTCTTTCCTGTTGCTGGAATATGAAGGTGGGCTGTAATGTCTTTGCCCATGTTTGTGTGCCTTCTTTGTCTATTAACAAAATATCTCATCGACTACTTGATGGATTTTATAGAAATCAGGGGGGAGTGGTGGCACAGAGGTTAGAAGATGGGGCTGTGATCGTAAAGTCGCAGGTTCAACTCCCGGTACTGTCAACATCAAAATGTGGGTGGAAAAGGAGAAACACCCACACCTGCCTCCACCCTCATTCACCCCACTCTGGGCCCCTGAGCAAGGCCCTTAACCCCCACCATCTGCTCCCTAAACATGTCTCTCTTGAAAATGAGTTCTCGTGGCTCAGTGAGACTACCTGGATAAATAAAGGGTAAATGAAAAAATCAACCTACACAACTGATTAACTTTTGGAACTGATCTTTTTCAAGATGATCGCCACAACTAGCTCACCTTCAAAAATACAAAAATGACCACAATTCAGTGAATTCTACAGATATTGAGCCACAATTTTATGTGACAACATGTGCGACTAATCCTCAACATATATTCTGAGCTCTAAAATATTGTACAAGGTCTTTACTTATAGTTTTTGCTACAAACCTTTTGAAGTCATCTCTGACTGACATCATCTGAGCTGGGGCAACAACACCACCAGCCTGATCAAGAAAGCTCATCAGAGACTCTACTTCCTCAGGCGGCTGAGATGAGCTGGTCTGGGAAGCTCAGTCCTCACCTCCTTCTACAGGTGTGCAGTGGAGAGCATCCTGTGCTCGAGCATCAACGTGTGGCATGGAGGCTGCACAGCTGCAGAAAGAAAAGCTTTGCAGAGAGTGGTGAAGGCTGCACAGAAGACTGTTGGAGTCAGTCTCCCCACCATCACAGACATCTCCACCTCTAGATGCAGGAAGAGGGCAACCTGCATCATGAAGGACCTCACTCACCCAGCACACACACTTTTTGCCTTGCTCCCTTCAGGCAGGAGGTTAAGGAGCATTTAGTGTAGAACCACTAGACTGAGGAACAGCTTCTACCCTGAGGCTGTTAGACTCATGAATATCTAACCAGGACAATCACTGTGAAAATTCACATCATGTTGCTGCCGATCTGTTTCATGTTGACGTGTTCATGCGTGCTCATCTGCTCACACAGACTCAAGCTCATGTTCGTGCTGCTGTTCGACGTAATGTTTTTATGCTATTAGTGCTTAGTGTATTTTTAGTTGATGTTTTTCTTAGTTCATATCTTAAATGTTATCATTGTTTTTCTTTTACGTTTTATTGTTGGATGTAACTGGGACCCCGTGTACATAATTTCGTTCCACCACATGTACCACATGTGGTGCGAACTACAATAAAGTATCTCTGACTCTCTGACTCTCTGACTCTGACTGTCTGTTAGCAAAGGGTTTTAAAAACAACTTGATTGTCACAGCTACACCTAAAAGCCCAAATTTGGTTTGGTTGTAGCTTAACATTACTGACAACACATACTACAGATGCTACTCAATGCACAAGGTCTTAGCCTAAATCTTTAGTTAGAGGCAACCTTATTTGTCTGTTAGCAAAATATTTGAGATGGACATTAGGGGTGCACCGATAAATCGTCCGGCCAATTTATCGGCCTCGATTTCCTTAATTTTGGGAAAACGGAACTCGGACGAAAAACCAGCTGATCATCTGCTCAAGAAGGACCATCAGCCTAATGGTCCTTCTTGAACATGTGATCAGCTGGTTTTGGTTGTCAGCAGCAAAACTGGTTGATCCACTCTGAGAAGGTGCTATTTAAGAGACTGAGCTGAATACAGCTCCTCGGACTGAGGAAGTCTCTCGGATGAGAGACGAAACATTTCTACATTTTTTTGTTGTTTTGCTTTGTTTTGTTTTGTTTTTTGAATGTCCAGAGGACCAGATTTAACTTTTTTGGATTCCAGATATGATGTTAACACGCTGCGTTGACACGATTGGGCTGGTCCATAATAATGTGATTAATGTGCGGCCGGGCTGGTCTCAGGCTTTGATGTGGTTTAATGAATCATTACAAAGAAAACTAAATAAGAATGCACAATATAAAATTGTGTTATTCTATTGTTGAGGAGGAGGCAGGTCCGACCGGCTGGTTTAAGAAGTAAAAAAAGCCACATTAAGCTCAGATGGACAACCTGTCACCCGCCACGTGCATGAGCGTCCACGCGTCCACTGACCCGCTGCTTGAAATGGACTTGTGACCTGTCCAGGGTGTCCCCTGCCTCTCGCACAGTGATGGCTGGACATGGGCAACAACGACTCCCGCTACCCAAAAAGGAAGAAGTGGGTAAATATAATGGATGGACAGCTGGGTCAGCTGATCACGCACGCGTCTCTGCACCTGCTGGCATTTACGGTGAAGGAAGTAGCAGCATAAAAGCCAAAGCGTGCAGCTCGTTAATTTAAAATAGCCTTGTTTTATATTTTTCCAAATGATTTTGCTTAAACAAACAAAAAAACCCCCGCCTAATTACGTATTGGATCCTGCCCATTTCTGTCCAAATCACAGAGATTCACATTGGATTAGTATTATCACAGGACCTCGGAGTTCAGCAAAATATAGTAGGTGATTTGCGGGGGTTTTTACTTTACAAATTACTGACATGGCCAATTGGCATGGGTTGAACAACACAGACAATCTCCGTAATTACTTTGTATTACAAATAGCATGTGGTCCCTAGGTAAAACGAATCCTGTGCAAATAGGGCTAAATTCTGAGATTTAGCTGAAATTTGAGGAAATCTTCTGGATATGATATTAACGCGCTGCGTATTGCACAACATATTTTTTGTATTGCGTATGATGTGAGCCACCATTTGCATATGATTTAGCCCCTTCTCTTCAGCCTTTTCTTTTTTTTTGGCAACCGTTATGGGTCGATAGGCTTTTGCTAGTCCGGGACACAAAAGGTTATTTATGTACTCCAATGCTAAAACTAATCCAGTGCGAATAGGGGTTTAGTCTAAATTATATGCATTGTTTCACCTAAGGTATATTAGGTCTATTTTTATTTGTTTCCAGGGGGACATTACTATGGTTTCAAAGCTAAGGTGGAACAAAACAGCAATAATACTGCATCCAAAAACAAAATGTAGGTCTAAGCATTTTTACGAAGTATAAGCAGGGAGTATTTCTTCACATTTACAGAGAACAAGAAGATGTCTCAATCTCCAGTCATTGTCACATAAAAAATGGAGTTCTGTTTTTGCCTACTGATAAAACCTCACTTTTTTATCCTTCGCACCTCATATGTTAGAAAGTTGCAATTCCCACATTTACATCCTTCCTCTTTTACTCCTCTACTCATCCCCACACTCACACTTCTATACCCTGCTGTGGTTTAGCCTCCGCCAAGGTTTTGCTTTCTTAACGTGCAACATATCTGTTTCCCCGAGACGCCGCATAGTCACACATCGACGACTGGAACCTTCAAAGCGAGTGCACCAAGAATAGTTCACATAAATGAATCAAAGCACTTCCATTTCCTTTCCTTTAGTCCTGATAACCTCCTAAAACTTAAATTCCCTGACAGACAAACGTGAGACTCATCACATAAACTAACCAACAACAACAAAACAAAGCTCTTCGCTTCTCAATTGGTGGAGGGAAATGGGAAGAACTGTTTGATGAGGACAACTGCAGAGGGGGAAGGTGGTAGGGAAGAGGGGAAAAATCATTATGAGATGTGCATTAATTTCTCTTGATGAAACAAAGCATAGATTTTGGATGATAACATTAGCATGCCAGTGTTAATCGGCAGCTTGGTTGTTATTTTCTAATGGGCTTGCACTGTGGCAAAAAGGGCCCTATTTCCATCATAATAAGAGAAAAGAGTGAACTGTCACAGGGCACTTCCTCCTCTGGCTGTGATGCATGCCCCTCAGTCTGGCCTCGCTGTGCTGATGGATGAGCCACAGAGTACGCGTTCCTCAACGCCAAAACAGAGTCACACAGTATGGGATCACTGCTGTGAAAGAGAATGTCACCATCTCTTTGCTCTATACTGTATGTCAACATGAACAAATATCATGGCCACATTAGCAGCGCTCTCCCCGCTGAATTTAAACAATGATATTACGTGGAAAGCTTTTTCAAGACAATGGAGATGAAAAGCGATATTGACAGAACTCATTTTACATTCAGTTTGCTCGGTTTCTACATCATCATTAATGCAGGCAGGGTCCAGATTAAAGCCTTGTGTTTACCACATGCAAACTCATGTTGGGAACAAAGAAACGCTTTCCTTTGAACAACCGTGTACCAAGGAGGAAACACATAGGAGAGAGAAAAAAAGAGCTTCTGCACATCTGAAAATAGCCTCAAAATTCAGGCAGAAAAAAGGGTGATTACTGTTAAACAATGAGTGGGGTGGGGAATTAGCACCCTCCCAGCAGTGACTCATTATCATATCGTCAAGCCTAGAAATGAGTTACATCACGTGGTCGGTTCTCTAAACTCTGTTCCTTACTGGCATATTGGTATTCAGCTGACCTCCATTGAGTCCTGGCTTCACAGTGCCAGGGGCTACCATGGTGGCTAACTGCAAAGCGCTGATGCTGTTAGAGGCAAGATTACTTGCCTCAGGAAAGGTGCGTGATTCTTTTTGTCTTTTGGATGAGAATTTGATTTAATCACAAAAGAATAGAGGTAGTTTTAAGGTTGTAATAAATTAACCAAAATTAGTAAAACTTTTAGTAGCACATTGGAACCTTTGGAATTGGAATTGGAATTGGATTAATATGCAACTCATTTATTCTCTCTCGTTTGTTTTATCCAGCTTGGAAAATTCAGTACTTCATAGTTCTGTTGTAACACTCAGTCATTGGATGAGGGGAATCTGTTCCTACCTGAGGGGAAACGTTCAATGACTGGCTGGTTGTCCACCTGCAGAGTGGCGTTGCCGCCACTGCGTGTGAATCGCACCACATGGTATTTGCCGTCGCTCACCATTACCGCACTCTCCTCGATGGTAATGTCGTCTGTTCCCACGTTGAAGATCACGCCGACTTTTCCCCGTTCCTACAAAGAGAAAATACAGAGAATGTGGTGAGAATATTGTGTCAACATACAAAAACAATATACCAAGAAGGCTCCCTAAAACACTTTGACTAGAAAACAGTTTTAAAAGTTCTGTAAAATTAATTTTTGTATGAAAACCAAATGGGGTCCTTTACAGACATTAGTCAATGGACTGTAATTCTATAGCATATTTCTATCTTATCAAGACACTCTAAGTGGGGGAGTGGTGGCGCAGAGGTTAGAAGATGGACCCGTGATCGGAAGTCGCAGGTTCACCTCCCAGTACTGTCAACATCAAAATGTGGGTGGAAAAGGTGAAACACCCTCATTCTCCCCACTCTGGGCCCCTGAGCAAGGCCCTTAACCCCCACCATCTGCTCCCTAAACAGGTCTCTCTTGAAAATGAGTTCTCGTGGCTCAATGAGACTACCTGGATAAATAAAAGGTAAATTAATTTTTTTTTAAAAGCGCTTTTCAACACAATCTGTGCCGTCATTTATCCATTCATAAAGCACTCTATTAGATCTCTACAAAGCTAATTGAACAAATCATTCTAAAGAGACTAATCAGAGCTTTATCACATTCATACATCAACGGGACACACATCGGAGGCTATCAGGGGTTCAGTGTCTTGCACAGGGACACTTCACCATGTGAGTGCTGGTGGATTCGAACCTCAAACTCGCATTGAAGGACGACTGCTCTAACCACTCAGCCACAGCCGCCCAAATCCAATCCATCCATCCATCCATTATCTTTCATCCATTATCTCCTATTCCGCTCCTGTTTCCTGGAATATCTTACAAAAACATTTGAAGCTCTCGACCTTGACCTCTCTAAGTGTCTTTAAGAATCTGTTGGACACCTGGCAGGGTCCAATGCTGACATGTTCCTGTTTTTAGTTTTCTACATTTGTCTTGGAATCTAGCTGTTTTTGGTTTTGTTACCTTTTCCTTTTAGCCATCCTATTTGTTAAAACAAACAAACAAACAAAAAAAAACTGTAGTATGCTTTTTTTATAACTGTTTATTGTTGTTGCTGTTGTCCATTGTTGTCATCTTTCTTTGTTGAAATCAGGTCTCTCTTGTAAATGAGTCCTCAAGGCTCAATGGGATTTACCTGTATAAATAAAGGTTGATTGATCCATTATCTTTATCTACTTCTTCCTTTTCAGGTCATGGGGGTCACTGGTGCCCATATCCAGCAGTCACTGTGCGAGAGTCAGGGGACACCCTGGACAGGTCTCCAGTTTATCACAGGGCCACATAGAGACAAATGAGACAAACAACCATTCACTCTCTCACTCACACCTAGAGACAAATTAGAGTTACCAATAAGCTTAACATTCATGTTTTTGGTCTGTGGGAGGAAACCGGAGTACCTGGAGGAAACCCAGGCATGCATGGAGAGAACATGCAAACTCAGTGGGATTTGAACCAGCAACTTTCTCATTGAAAGGCAACAGCTATACCAACTGGGCTATCATGTTGCTCATTTTACAGACACTGGTTAACATTTAGGAAAAGATCTTTTCATTCCTATATCCAAGTCTCTTTCCTATTTTGTCTGACTGTAGCTCAGGTATAATGTGGTTGTCCAACAATCAGAGAGATTTTGATACAGTTTAGTACAATTCAGTTATTGCTCAAGGTCTGCATTGTCAGTTACTCTCAGCTACTACCACATCAGATTTTAGTTAAACATATGTTAAACTGACAAAGTGTAGCACTTAAATTAAGTTTTAGTATGACTCTCAGGTATTTTCATCATTCAGGTCTCTCTTGTAAATGAGTCCTTGTGACTCAATGAGACTAACCAGTATAAATAAAGATTGAACTTTGTAAAATTAGTGGAGTTGTCATGTTTGTGTTTCTAAGTACAGTTGGCTGAGGATTACATCTTTCTTTGGGTTGACTTCAAAAGTTAATCAACTGTAGCGGTATATCCATTGATTACTTCTAAAGGTTTAATTAAAATCTTTCTATTGATTTATGAGATGGTTTGCTAATAGACAGCTAGAATTGACTTCAAAAAGATTATGTGCTATCGGCTAACGCTTGGTGTATTTGTTTGGGGATGACTCTTAGCTGCTAACAGATCTGATTTTAGTTCAATAATAGTATAACTGACTTCAAGTTTAGACAATTTTGTGTTTGATAATCTATAAGTGGTGGCATGGTGGCCCAGTTGGTAGAACTGTTGCCTCTCTATGTGTCCCTGTGATGGACTGGAGAAATGTCCAGGGTGTCCCCCACCTCTTGCACAGTGATAGCTGGATATGGGCACCAGTGATCCCCGTGACCTGAAAAAGAAGCAGCGATTAAAGATAATGGATGGATGGATTTATGATCTCTATAAGCTGTGGTGACTATTTAAATCAGGTTAACAGTTGATGAAATACATTTAGTGGTTCATGAAATATTTTGCAATCACTACAGGCATACACAGAGAAATCATGCAGACACATTCAAAAACATCACTGTAATTTTTGCCTTTTGATGAAAAATGAACGTTGTGCAACCCGAGTCCTATTCAAGTCCACATGGACTAGAACCTATAATTAGCTCCCAAGTGTATGAGTATGGCTTCTACTTTAGAGTTTTTTGAGTTAACAAGACTTTGAAAGTGTTTGTGACTGCAGTCCATTTACCTTTTCATACATCAGAACATTCATTGTGTTGTTTCTCCACTGTTCTAAAGGGATTTCAGACATTCACAATGTAACAAAGCCATTAAGGTTTTTCAAACAAGGATTACAAATACTGTGCCATTTTTAACAAGGCTTTTGTAAAAGCACACCAGCTTTCACGGTTTTGTCCCAAAAAATACTGCAACATTTTCTCAATCGATTGTAGACAAAGACTTCCCACGCTTTGGTCTTTTTACAGGTTAAAACTAATGTCATGTTCTGTTTTAATCTGCTATAACAGTGTTAGTTATAGGTTGTAATTACAATATTCTGATTGTCATTCTTAAAAATATATAAAATAATAAAGCTAATTTTGTCTTTGTGAATGTGAATCCTTTTTCCTGATGATGTTCTAGAAGCTGTAGTAGAATACAACCCTGAACATTTTAGCATTTTAGCGTGTTTTATGGCACCCTGATTTATTGTTTTGTACACTACTCTTATTTTAACTGCATTTTTACTGTAGTTTACTGTTGTCATTGTCAACTGTTTTGTTGTTTGTACTTTATATGTTCTGTCTCGAACAAGTTTCTTTTGCAAATGAGTCCTCGTGGCTCAATGAGGCAAGCCTGTATACATAAAGGTAGAAAAAACAGGAACATGTCGGTTTAAAATATGGATGAATACCACTGACTCTAGTCACTCTTTATTGAAATTAACGTTTATTTTAGTAATATGCTGTAGCAGTGAAACACAGCATGCTCACAGATATGAAAATGTTGTTCTTTAAGGCCTTGTCCACACGGTAATGTGTTTCCCCCAAAAAAGCTGTAGTAACTATGATAGGCCTGTATGTGGCGCAGTAACAATATTACAAAATCACAACAGAACCAGGAAACAAGATGTGGAATAGATGCATAAATCTTGAACATTGGATAGGAACATACAGTCTAATAGACTCAATGTCTGAGATCGAGACAAGACCGAGACCAAATGCGGTCGAGTCCGAGACAAGACCAAAACCATCAAAAAGTGGTCTTGAGACCGGTCTCAAGACCAAGACCAGTCTCGTGTGCTACAACAAAACCTTTAGAAAATAATGATGTCATAGACCAACCTCGAACCTGTGACTCTAAGCATCACAGATGCATTAAAGACAGATTGTGTTTTGTTTGTCCACACAAAAACACAAAGCTGGTGTTTCAAGCTTTACTCTGCAACTCATTTTCAAGAAACACCATTTAGTGGGTTCAAAAATACTGTATCAATGTAAAGAAACATGGATGAATAAACACTTTATGTCCTGTAATCTTAATTGTATTTATTTTATTTAACCTTTATTCATACAGGTAGTCTCACTGAGTCACGAAGACTGATTTTCAAGAGAGACCTGGTTTGGGCATGTAAGCCCCCGGGGAGCAGGATTGGGTGCCTTGCTTAAGGACCCCATGACGTGTGGGCATGGTGGGGAGTCGAACCTGTGATGTTCTGATCTCAAGTCGGTTGCCCTACATCTATACCACAGCGGCTCCTAGTAATAAAACTCAACAGGTAATGTACAGTGCATATCCAGTACATTTGAGTATTTATACATGTTCTTGTGTACAGTAAACCAAAATTCTATGACTTCCTGTAATTCATTCTCTCTGTGAGCATCTCACCTCACTCACATCGTCTTAGTGAAAGGAGTACTTACTGAGGACTCAGGCACCTTTAGTATTCATCAACCAGGCGAGACCCCCCACCCCCCACATGTATTAATGTTGACAGCCGCCCACTGCTTTGAGTTTATTACAGTCAACCGCCTACTCTACTCTTTTTCTGTCGCCATTTCTCTCGTCTGCCTCTGTGGTTTCTGTCCTCAGTCCTAGGAAAGGTCAAAGTCATTTACAGAGTTACAGTCTGTCAGAAAGCCACAGAACAAGGGTGAGGGAGAGAAACAAAGTGCATAGCAGACAGCACTACTGCAGACACGTTGTCTGTCTTCCAGTAAATTCTCTGATGCTGTTTTGCTCAGCACGTTTGGAAGACTGTGCTGTCCAAACCACAGACAACAAACGCTTCCTGACTGTCAGTATAGGTCAGGCTCATTTGCAGACAGGGCCAAGTTTGAGCACAGCTCTGTGCCCTCTGCAGTTACAACTTCATTGATTCCATTATCTCATTAGCTATGTGCATTTGTTTAGCCACTTCCCATATGCCGCGAAATTCAGAGGTGAACGTCTGGCTTTTGCTTGCAGCGGTTTTCCATTATTCATGGCTGATTAAGGACTTAAAAAAACACTACAATCTTAACAGAAGTGAAAATAGCAAGTTAATTAGGTAAATAAGTGCAGAGGTTGTATAGTTAGTTAATGATCAGTATAGGCAG